ATTTAGGGGGCCACAGGAAGTCAAAAAACATTTTCTTAGGATTTGGGGAAAAGATGTAATTTCTTGGGATACATGGAAGGACCAAAATAGGCCTATTCCTAGACCACCTGAGATTCATGTGGAGAGTAAAGAAGGATACAAATGAACTAAAAGTACAAAGTGTGGATGATTGATTTCTGGAATTTCACACTGTTTTCTGAATAGGGGTTGCTGGCAAGACCCAAGTGGAACAGAGTCCCCAGTCCCTGACTGTCCTGGAGGGAGAGAACTGCATCCTTCATTGCAATTACACTGTGAGCCCTGCTAACAACTTAAGGTGGTACCGACAAGACACAGGCAGAGGTCTTGTGTCCCTGGCAGTCATGGCTTATACAGAGAACAAAAAGTCAAATGGAAGATACTTAGCAACTGTGAATACAAATGCTCAGCAAAGCACCCTGCACATCACAGCCTCCCAGCTTGAGGACACTGCCTCCTACATCTGTGTGGTGGGAGCACCATGCTCCACAGATACTTGCAGCCAGTACCAAAACCTGCTCCTGGAGGCTTCAAGGAGGCAGAGGTGACAGAACAGTCTTTTTAACACTGTACTAGGAAACTGAATTTCCCTTTTAGGCTTATTAGTCTCATTAGAAAGACAATTTTAAAACAGCCTGAAAAGAAAGCTTGAGAACAATTTTAATAGATTTTGAGAGACAAACAACAGTATAGGAAAATAGAATATCCTGGCAGCCGCCATGAGGTGAGGAGATGGAGAAAATGTTAGCCTTTTCAGTTCACCACAGAGGTCAGAGAAATAGTGAGAAAGCTCAGAATGTCAAGGAAATAAGTTCAGCCACAGATCTGTATGCAGAGGTCAGCCAGTACCATACTCTTTTGTCCCATGGAAAATGATTGCACCAGAAATACATGCTTAAAAATGGAAACAGAAATAGCTTATTAAGAAGGAAAAACACTCCTAAGAATAGATGTACTAATGAGCTGAGGAGAGATTCCAAAAACATCTGACCACACTGTGTACAGCTCTTCACAAGATCCATTGAACCCCCATCTCTATCATGCACTTTGCTTGAGCATTTTTGCACAATCCAAGTTCCTTAGATGAGTTCCAGGTGAGGAAAGGCATCCAGTCTTCCTTTTTTCATATGTTAACCTTTTACAAAGAGGAATCATTATTTCTAATTTAAACATTTTTGAGAATTTCATACAGGTGTACCATACTTACATAATTTCTACTTCACCCTCCCTCTTCATCTCTTCCCACATTTTCCTTACTCCATCTCAAACTCTTGTCCTCTTCTTTAATTGCTGTTACACACACACACACACACACACACACACACACACACACACACACACACACACACACCTTGCTGAGTTCATTTAGTGTTGCTCCTATGTGTATGTGTTTAGGGTGATCTCTTGTGATTGGATAACCTATAGAAGTCTTACCCCTGGAGAAAGCTGATTCTCCCCTTCTCAGCAGTCATTAATTGTCTGCATCTCTTCATCCAGGAATGGGACCTTATGAGATTTCCCATATCTATGCTGACATGTCAGTTGGCACTGTCATTTTGCAGGTCTTGTTTAGTTTAATCACATTTTTTGAGATTTCTTGGGTATAGCTTCCCTGCCATATCCAGAAGACACAGTCTCACAGCAGATGTGCTGGTCCTCTGGCTCTTTAAGTCTTTTATCCTCTCCTTTCTCAATGTTCCTTGAGCCTTGAGTGTAGGGGTTGGATTGTAAACATATCAGTCAAAGTTGAACACTCTATGGTCAGTTGAGCTCTGCACTTTGACCAGTTTTAGACATCTGTAATGGTCTCTTTTGTTTGCTGCAAAATGAAGCTACTTTGAAGAAGGGTAAGTGCTTATCTGTGTGTATAATGATCAATATTTAGAATTTTGTTACAAACTATACTGGTTTAGGGAAGTGACATTAGTATGTTCCCTTTTAGGGTTCATGGCCTCACTGGCCATGGGTAAATGAGCTAAGTTTACAATATTAGGTGTGGATTTCTTTCTATGGAATGGGCTTTAAGTCCACCTAGACAGATGTTGGTAGCTACCAAGATATACATTGTATAAAGCTAGTCGTTTTTTGTGATTCATACACAGTATACATAAGTAGGACTCTTGATTGCTTTTGTCCTTCGGAAGCATGAATAGCTCCTTTGGATATTACGAGAGGTAATTCTTAGAGAAGAGATTTCAAGGACTAGCTCCAACTTGATTCTCCCAAATCTTGAATCTCAAGTGTGTGCTGTCTTAAACAATAGGCTCTTACCTTCAGGTTCTGGGAGGCAATCAGTGACAATGGCAATAAAGCATGTTAATTTGTGAATCTCTTTGACTTCTCTGACCAACATCACAAAGAAAAGTTTCCCATGCTTAGCACTGCGGCTTTGTTATATAGTTGTGACTCTTGGGGAGACCATTATACCTCCAAGTGGAGTAAATTTATTCAAACTCTCTATCACCTATCATCTACTATCTGTCTATATCTATCTGTCTATCTATCTATCTATCTATCTATCTATCTATCTATCTATCTATCTACCTACCTGCCTAACTATCCCTTATTTTTCTTATCCATACAGTAGTTGAGGAACATCCATTTTGATTCCATTTTCTAGCTATTGTGAACTGAGCCTTGATGAACATAGATGTAACCTATCACAGTACTGAAAGCTTCACCTGATGACAAGAGATGGCCAGTTGTAATTCCCCCCGTTTGGCAATTTCTCCCTAGATTACCTTCATATATCTATATATTTTAGGAAATTTCTACTGTATTGGGTCTCTATCATACTCCACAAATAGCCTTTAACGTAGCTGTCTCTCCCCATACACCCTCTGTCATCCCCTTGGCTCAGACTGTCCTTAAATAGTAGCATGAGACATGTGCAGTATTTTGGTATTGGTAGAAACAAAGTGGACCTTGTTATCAAAGAACAGTGATGGATTGCTTTGGCCTGACAGGTGCCTCCCTGAAGGAATGACCTAAAGGGCCTGCCTGTATATCATGTAACCCAGGACTCTACCAAGGGAGAGAAATCTCTTTGTGGAAAAAATTACTTAAAAATACACTAGAAGGATTTAAGAACATGTTTTATCACACAAGATAAACAGTTCTGAAAACTGAAGGTCAATTGACATGACTCGGTCTGATAAGGAAGAAAAAAAAAAAACACAAGAAGAAAATGAACAGAATTTAAGAGACCCAGAGAACATTTTTCTCAAATAGAGACATCAATATTAATATTCTAGAAGAAAAGACTGGAGGCAAGGAGGAATAGTTGAAGAAACCTTGACCACAAATCTCTCCAAACTTGATGGAAGACAAAAAGGCACATGTCCAAAAAGCTCAGTATGAACCAAGAGGACAATGCCAATGAAACCAGCACTGAGCATCTGTGGAATCTCATTGCTAGAAAAGACCGCGTCTAGAAAACTGCTCCAAAGAGTGGCCAACAAGGTTTCTTTAGCAAGATCAATAATTTCTCATCTGAAACTGTATCAGCCTGAAGTTGGCAAGATGTGATGTCTAAGGAGATAAAAAAGAAAAATACTGTCCACTAATGATTGTGTACATGGTAAAACAACTTATCAAAACTAAAGGACGATTCTGAGATTTTATTTTCTGGACTATAGCTTCTGGGGGAAGGGGGTGGTCAATTTTCTCTTCCTTCCTTCCTTCCTTCCTTCCTTCCTTCCTTCCTTCCTTCCTTCCTTCCTTCCTTCCTTTCTTCCTTCTTTCTTTCTTTCTCTCTCTCTTCTTTCTTTCATTCCTTCCTTCCTTCTTTCATTCCTTCTTTCTTTCCTTCCTTTCTTCATTTCTGAGACAGGCCTTCATTGTGCAGTCCTGTCTGGCCTAGAACTTATAGAGATCCACCTGCCTCTGCCTCCTGAGTGCTGGGATTAAAAGTAGGTGTGAGCACACCCAGCTCAGTTTTCATTATAGAATTGGTTGTTCATCGGTCAACCACATTTGAGTGGATAGGCCCACACCAAGGAATGTATGGTCAGAACAAATTGGATCAAATCTTGCTCTAGAACAGTAGTTCTCAATCTTCCTGATGCTATGGACCTTTAATAGAGTTCCTGGTGTTGTGGTGACCATCAACCACATAATTATTTTTCATTGCCACTTCATAACTGTAATTTTTGTACTTTTATAATTTGCAGTGTAAATATCTGATACTTCCGATGGTCTTAGGAGACCCCTGTAAAAGGGTCATTTGAACCTTGAAGAGGTCACAAGTAACAGGATGAGAACAGCTGCTCTAGAAGAAATAGGATTATGAACACATGCTGCCATGTCCAGTCTCACATGAGTTCTGTAAATCTGAACTCAGGACTTCCTGTTGTGTGTCAAGGAATTTTAAACACTGAGTCATCACCTGGCTGATTTATCAGTATTCTTTATGATATTTATAACTCACGTGTGTTTCTGATGTTTTCCACCTTAGAGAACTGGATTCTATCAACATAGAGAAGCAGAGAACCCTGCTGCTTTCCACCACTGACACGAGAGCTGCAGTGCTCCAAGCAACATGGTGCCCCTAGATTTCACACATGCTGGGCTCTGTAGACCACTACAGTGAGATGAACACCAGCAGGAAGTACCTGTCTTTATTTTTTATGTGCTTCCCTCAGACCCAGCTTCAATATGACTCTAACTGCTTCCATCTTCTGGATGTACTTGTAAATCTGACACTTCTGAGATGATCTTCATTCTACTAACACTTGTGGATTTGGGGTTATTCTAGGAGGAGGTTGGAGATGGGAGACCATGATTAGAATATATTGTATGAAATCCTTTAAAAAAAAAAAAAAGGCAAACAAATCTTGCTAGGATTCTGCAAGGTTCTTCTAACCCACTGGAGCCATCAGTGTTCACACCGGTATTCTGTATTTATGAATTCCCCTCCTCACACATTTCTCCCCAAACTCCCCTTTTATGAAATATTACCTTAGAAATATAGTGTTCTGGGGTCTGCATATTGTTCATCATAGCTGTGGAGCTGTTATTATGGAGAGTAGTGAGGTGAAGGTGGGTGGAGTTTCTTGTTCAGATGAAAGAGAACATTCAGCAACTTGGAGAGAAACTTGTGTGTGTAAGCACAAGTGTGTCTGGCCACAAGAATTGACACCATCCCTCAGAGGTGGAGAGAAGACACCACAGCAATTGGAAAGGGGCCATGGAGAGGAACCTGGGAGCTGTGCTGGGGATTCTGTGGGTGCAGATTTGCTGTGAGTTGTGCTCACCTAAGCTGCTTTAGGAATTCTCCAGAAATGTCAGTGGTGGAGGGGATGAGCCAACCCAAAGCTCCTGTGCTGTCATCCTCATGGTGTCTCCTGGGAAATTAGGTGTGGGTGAAGACCTCTCACTGATTCTGGTTTGCTTTTGTTTCCCAACAGGGGTGAGAGGATTTGAGGTGGAGCAGAGTCCTCCAGCCCTGAGTCTCCATGAGGAAACCAGAACTGCCCTGAGATGCAATTTTTCTATCACCATGACATATATGCAGTGGTTCCGACAGAATCCCAGGGGCAGCCTCATCAATCTTTTTTACCTGACTCCAGGAACAAAGGAGAATGGGAGGTTCAAGTCGACATTCAACTCCAAGGAGCGCTACAGCACCCTGCACATCAGAGATGCCCAGCTGGAGGACTCAGGCACCTATCTCTGTGCTGCTGATGCACAGTGCTCCCAGCAAGCCTGCAGGCTGGCCCCAAACTGCAACTGTGTATTCAGCTACAGCCCTGCCACAGGCAGACTCTGCAGGAGGCTTTGCACAGCTGTGTCTTTATCAGATCTCCACCAATGACAGAGAAGTTGTGAGGAAACCCAAAATTACCACAGCAGAAATTCATGGCTAAATTCAGATTGACATGACACTGACTTGGAGAAGCTTAAATGTTCAGAAACGTCAGCCATCATGACCAAAATGTACACTTTATTTATCAAATGCTTGTGCTAATGTAAATAAATAGAAACCTCTCTTACACATTCCAGAATTATTTGGATCATTTCTCAAAATTGAAAGTTTAGAGCAACTGTTTCCATCCTTTGTTTAGAGAGTATGATACAAACATTTCCAGCTCATCTGCTCAATATGAGGTTGATAAAAGAATTAAATTTGAAGATCTGATAGATTAAGTTGTAGAAAGGCAAGAAGACAAATATTATTATTAAATCATGACATCATTTCTACAATGTCTTGCTAATTTAAAAAAATAATGCATTCAATTATGCCATATAAAACAAATATTTCACACATAAATAATCAGAGCCAAAAGATAATGACAAAATAGAGAAATAGATTTGCAATTTATATCACAATAATATTTGCAGCAATTAATTCTAACAAAATATTTACACATCTGTAATGTAATATATATGCATAACTTCCCATTAAAACATCGCTTTCAAAAGTAAAAGTGGGACCCTCCTAAAGGTCACATACTAGGGGACTAATTCATTAAACAATAATTAAATATGATCCATACAACTGCTGTTTCTCAAGGGCTGACAGATTCTATTCCACAGTTGAAAAACTCTTGCCTGCCATTTGTCTCTGTGAGGAACTGGAAAGCAGCCATGCTCACTCATTCACAGTTTGTCTGTTCATTGTGTTTTCATGTTGAATCAGCAGCTGAGTGGATACAACAGTGACTGGAGTGACTAAAACATTTACTTTCTTGAGCTCACAAATTCACTGACAACTTGTGATTCATTCAGCTTCATCCCATTGCAGGTACATCTGCTACATATATTGATTATCTGAGCTTCTCAGATAATAAACAATTGCTAATTGTCAGTAAGATTTATGTGAGCATGTCTGGAAGTAGTGACATTAGAAGTGACAGCTTCTACAGTAGGAATCATTGATAGGGTATAATTCTACTTGGTTTCCTTTATATGTTACTTGACCTTTATCCTTTGCAGATTTTAATATTCTTTTCTTGTTCTGTGTGTTTGGTGTTTTGATTACTATGTGTCAAGGGAATTTTCTCTTCTGGTTCAATCAATTTGTTCTGTAGGCTTCTTGTAGCTTTATAGGCCTGACCTTACCTCTGCACATATCTAACTCCACATTTTCTTTTTAGAAAACAGAGAAGTAAAAAAACAAACAAACCAGAATAAAACAAACAGAAAAAAAAAACAAATAAAAAGCATGAGAAGCTCATATACATGCAAAGACACATGTATACACACACAAAAAATATAAATCCACAAAATTGGAAATGATATAAACAAGGACAAATGTGCTAAATAGTGACCCACATAAAGCATTAAGAGACCTAAAAATAAACAAAAGAACAAAAACTACAACTGGGTTCATTTGCTGGGCATGGGGCCTGCCCTGAAGTGTGGCTTGTATACCCAGTGAAATGCTGTTGGTAAAAACTAAATTTCCCCTTGTGAGTAGTTTTCAGTTGGAGATAACTTCTTGGTTAGGTATAGGGGATAATGTCCACTTCCCATTCTCAGCACTGGGACCCCATCTGTACAGGACCTGTGTGGGCCCTTTGCATGTTGCTGACATCTCTATGAGTTCTTATGTGAGCCAGCCTTATTGTGACTGGAGGGCTTTATTTCCTAATGCCTCCATCCCCACTGGCTCTTAGACACTTTCTTCTTCTTCTTCTTCTTCTTCTTCTTCTTCTTCTTCTTCTTCTTCTTCTTCTTCTTCTTCTTCTTCTTCTTCTATAACATTCCCAGAATCCTGAGGGAAGAAGTTTAATGGAGACATTCCATTTACCACTGGGTGTTCCAAGGTCTCTCATTCTCTGTATATTTTCCAGTTGAGGAGTTGTGGATCTATGTGTTTGTTCCCATCTACTGCAAGTAGAAGCTTACCTGATGATGGCTGAACAAGACATTGATTTATGGGTATAGCAGAAAGTCATTATAAGTCATTATCTTGCTATGTATGTTTAGGAGGACAATGATATTTGGTTTTCCCTTAGGTCCACAGCCTATCTAGTCTCAGGTTCTTGGCTACTGGAGCAGTATCAGGCATGGGTTCCATCTCATGAAGTGGGCCTTAAGCCCATTCAGAATGTGGTTGGTCACTCCAATATCACTTGTGCTATTATCATACCAGTGTGTCATGTATGGAGTTCACCATTGTAGATCAAAGGATTTATAGCTGGGTTGGTGTTTACCTTTCTCCTCTGGTATCATTCAGAGTATCTTCGTGAACCATGAACCCAAGTTCACAGGAGTAAATGCTTTATTTAGGAACCAGCTCAATTTCTTCATGTTCAATGAGATTTGTAGATATTGTCTACAACAACAGTACTTTACCATCAGTTTGTGGTGAGCAACCCATAGCCTTGGTAATAGCTTGAGTTGTTGAAAATTTCCATGGGTCCCCTTTGGCCAGCAACTCAGTTAGATGACACATTCCTTGGCACTAGAGTTTTCACTTGTTGGTAGGAAATGTCTAGTTGGTTCTTTGTTTCCCTTTTATTTGGTTATTTCATGGATTTATATAATACATGTGCATTATATTAAGGATATGATATATATTACATATATATGTAAAGAATCTTCTCCTGTAGTAGGTTTCTATAATGACCTCTCAGAATGTGCTTAGTTTGTGCTTTCTCTCCCGATACCTCCTCCCTTATTCTCTGCTCTCTCCTCCTTTCTGTTTAATCCTCCTATTCTACCCCTCCAACCCCATCTCTTTATATCTATTCTATTTTTCACCTATTCAGGAAATCCTTCCTTCTCTCCTACTGTATCCCTAACTTCTGCAGGTATACAGATTGTGGCAAGCCTATTGAAGGCTTAAAAGCTAGAATCCAAATGTCAGAGAATACATACTATATTTTTTGTTTGTACTTGGGGTTACCTCACTCAAGATGATTTTTTTCTATGTCCATAAATTTACCTGTGAATTTCATAACTCAATAGATGAGTGATATTTCATTGTAGAAATGTCTCACATTTCCATTATATATCCATCTCTTGATGGACATCTAGACTGCTTGCAATGTTTGTTATTATGAATACTACAATTAATATCGATGAGCAAGTGTCTCTGTAACACAATATAGAGTCCTGTGAGTATATGTCCAAAAGTGGTCCAGCTGAATCTTGAGGTAGATCTATTCCCTTCTTTCTGAAGAATCACCATACTTATGTCCATAGTGAGTCTTAAAGTTTGCACTCTCAGCTACAATGGATGAGTGTTCCCCTTAAACTACATCCTCACCAGCATATGATCTCATTTTTTGTTGATTTTGGACATTCTGATGGGTGTAAGAAGAAATCTCATTGTATTTTTAATTTACATTTCCCTGAAAAATAAGCATTTTGAATTTTTAAGTGCTTCTCAGTCATTTGTGTTTCATCTTTTGAGAATTATCTTTAGACTTGTACCTATTTCTTAAATTGAGTTTTTTTCTTTCTTGATATATGGTCTTTTTAGTTTTTCATATATTTTAGATATCAGCTCTATATCAACTGTATAATTTGTAATGATACTTTTCCTTTCAATAACTTGCCACTTTGTTCAAATGATGATTTTCTTTGCCCATACATAAGCTTTTCAGTTCCATGAAGTTCTGCTTGTCAATTATTGTTTTAATGACTTGCTTTGGGATATTTGTACACTGTGTGAAGATGTATTGCTGTGATTTGTGTAATAAAAAGCTGAACAGTGAGTAGCTAGGCAGGAGAGAATGGGCATAACTTCTGGGCAGAGAGTGAACTGGAAGAAGAAAGAGAGGATCAACACCCAGAGGTGGAGGAAGCAGGATGGGCAGTAAGGAGATGAGGTAATGAGCCAGGTGGAAGAATATAGATTAAAAAACATGGGTTAATTTCAGTTATAAGAACTAGTTAGGAACAAGCCTAAGCTAACCCAAGCTTTCATAATTAATACTAAGACTCTGTATCATGATTTGAGGGCTGATGTTCCCAATGAGAAAGTATAGCAGTACAGTGACTGTGCTATTAGTGTCCTGTTCAAAAAGTCTTTTCCTGTGCCAATGTGTTCAAGATTATTCCACGCTTCTATTTATTAGATTCAGAGTATCTGGATGGATGGTCTTGTCCTTGATCCATTTGGACTTGAGTTTTGTACAGGGCAGTAAAAATTATTCTGTTTATATTCTTTTACATGTATCCATTCAGTTTGACCACAGCCATCTGTTGAAGATGCTGTCTTTTTGCTGGTGTGTAGTATATTTGGCTTTATTATCAAACGAGGTATTCACAGGTGTGTGGACTTCTGTCTGGATCTTTGATTCTAATCCACTGATCAGCATGTCTATTTATTTAAGCAAATACCATCCTGTTTTTCTGACTATTACTCTGCGGTACAACTTGAAATCTGAAGTGGTAATACATTAAGCAGTTCTTTCATTATTCATTTTTTAATCTACCCTAAGTTGTTTGTGTTTCCATATAAAACTAATTTTTTTATTTTCTATTTCTGTGAAGAATTGTGTTTGAATTGACAGAGATTGCACTGAATCTGTCAATTGTTTTGGGAAGGTGGCGACTTTCACTGTATTAATCCTACCAATCCATGAACATGGGGGTCTTTTCATTATCTGATATCTTCTATTTCCTTCCTCAGTGTTTTAAAATTATTATTATACAAGATTTTCATTAGAGTTGATCAAAGATATTTTATTATTTTTTTGTACCACCAGGCTCCCAGGTGGAGTGTCTCTACTGTCATGTGACACAAAGCAGTGGGGGTGAGTTAGGAAAGGAAATGCAGCAAGGGTCTGCTGAGTCCTCAGTGAATGGAGGAAGAGTGAGAGGACAGGTGAGTGGTCAGGTACAGAGCTAGGGAACTGAAATGGAGGACAGGAAGCCAGTGAAGTTGGCCTTCTGCTTCCTAAGCCTTTGTGTATACTGGGTTCTCACATAGACATTGTTTGTAGCTGTTCACAGTTGACAGGAAGGAAAGGCAATGGGCTAGAAGCAGGGGGTGCTGGGAGGGTCCACAGGAAGGAGAAGAGATGGGTTAGTGCAAGGTTTGGCAGATTCTCCAGGATATTCAGCACTGCTCTTCTATCAGTGATTCAGTCTAGATGCTGTGGGAGTGAGTAACATGGATGGTGCCATCCCCAAGATGTAATCACCTCTGAGAACGTTCCTAAGAGTAGCTGTGTGTATTTTTTATTCCAGGTCAACTTCTCTGGAAGGAAAGATGCATGCATAAAAAACATCATATCTGCATTGTTAACAAGAACTCACTAAAGTAGAAAGAACATTGCAACTAAAAGCCCATGAGAGACCTGAATAAGCCTTTTCCCAAATGCAATAACTCTACAGGACAATTATTGATTTAAGTGTCTTTCTTCAAGAAAAAGAAGAGTTGCTTGATAAATGATCTGAGCATTCTGGAATATGGGAGTGGATTAGTAAATATAGTTCTAGACAGAAGAATTGTTGTTACACACACGTGAATATATTACATATGAATTTATATATGAAAATATTATATATATTATATGAAGCATTATACATATGCTGTGTTAGATTTAAATCTCAGAAACAGGCTCACTAGTGTGTACAAATACCATTCTTGACCTCTCCGCACTAGAATATATTTGATATAACATTTTGCTGTTTTATGTCTCTGAGTCCCTCACAGGTCAGAGAACACTTAAGCAGAAGCCTTACTGGTTAAGGGTACAACCACAAGGTGGTAGTAGACCTCAGCTGCTGGAGAGTATGAAGAGGTCTCACTTCCTGGATGCTGATTGTGCAGGCTTAGGGCAGAAGCACAACCTTTTTCTCAGTGTCGGAGTGGATGACTCACGAGGTAGAATTGTTACTGAGAGAGAACAACACCCTGGTAGCTGTAGCTGACCTGCTAGTCATCACAATCTACACCGGATCTTAATTTAATTGGATGGACAATGAAAACATTTCTTCCTACTTTATTCATGTTCTTGTGGCTGCAGCTCGATGGTGAGTTAAGATCTTGGGACCACAGAATATTCAGTGGGCATTTCTGAGGCATCCAGGAGGAACTCTATTTTAGTTAGTTTTTCTCTGTTACTATAAAACAAGAGATAATTCTGCAAGGTTATGACCTGACAGCATTTCTCCTTTCTTTCCATCATTCTGCACAGGGGTGATCCAAGGTGAGCAGGTGGAGCAGCATCCTTCCACTCTTAGAGTCCAGGAGGGAGACAGCGCTGTCATCAACTGCACTTATACAGATAGTGCCTCGTCCTACTTCCCTTGGTATAAGCAAGAACCCGGAGAGCATCCTCAGCTCATTACTGACATTCGCTCAACTGTGGAAAGAAAGCAGGAGCAAAGACTGATCATTTTACAGGATAAGAAAGCCAAACACTTCTCCCTGCACATCACAGACACCCGGCCTGGAGACTCTGCCATGTACTTCTGTGCTGCAAGTGCACACTGCTCCACATGCACCTGCAGCCTGTCCTCAAACCTGCCATGGGGCCTGGAGCCCCATCCACATCCTGTGTCACAAGCCTTCAATGCGACATGTGCCAGTTTTTAGTTGACAAGTTCCAACTACAGTGTGGACATTAATAACACATAATATGTAGGTCAGATTCAAGTCACTGAAGCAATTTTGGACATTTTCTCCTTTGTTTTTAAAATGTATTTTAAAAATTGATATACAGTTTTGTTCTTCCCTTTTCCTTGCTACAGTACATGGTGATTGTCCCAGAGAACCAGGATCCCTGTGCTTCAGAGAAGAAGAGGCTGTGGCACACTCACCCCAAGTGGGGCATCTACACCACACACCCTCCTTCCATGGTCAGAGATCACTGAGGGAGAGGAGGTGGAAAGACTGTGAGAGCCATAGGTGGGAAGTGACTACAAGGAGACAGTGTTTTCTGGACACAGCAGGGCAGCTGCACACATGAACTCACATAACATATACATACTTGCAAACTCACAGTGGTTGACAGCACACCTAAGACTTGCAAAGGATCAGGCCAGATGCAATTTCAGCAAGGAGGGAAGGTGCACATTCCCACCCTTAGCTAAGGAGCTATAGGCAGTTTGAAGCTGCTGGGAGAGAGACTCGGTTTCTTTAAAGGTGAATCCCCTGGTCCACAGTCCACCCCCACTGGAGGGCACACATCCAAGTGTATATTTGCAGCACATTGTATAATGCAAACCTTGAGGTGTTTTATTTTTAAAAGAGATGGACAAAACTGGGTTTGTAGGGAAGACTGGATGGATCTGTCAGGATTAAAGGGAGCAGGTGAGCATAATCAAAATTAATTGCATAACATTATCTAAGAAATAATAAAATGAGAAAAATTAGATAAATTTTATCAGAGGTGTGTGTGTGTCTGTGTGTGTGTGTGTGTGTGTGTGTGTGTATGTGTGTGTGCATGTCTTATTTTATGGACATCTATTACACTAAATAAAAATGTATAACATAGTTCAGTAACACTGGTGATTTCAGGCACCCACTGTGAACTTGAGACCCATATCCTTTGTGTGAGATTGCGAATTTATTCACAGTGTATTATGCAGACATCTGTGGTGCAATTTTAAGGGAAATCAGCAGAGGGAGCTGCCTCTTCAGATGTGGTTAATGTCTACATCCAGGTGGTGGCCTCATATGACAGACTGTCACTGTACAGAAGGAGGTCCTTGTTTGTGAGTGAGGAGTTTCAGTAAGATCCTGCAGGAGACTTGCCTCTGAGTTTGGTGCACTCAAGAACCAAGTGTCATTTTCTCCTATGAACATGCTTCCTGACACCTGCTCAGTTCTGGTGCTCCTCTTCATGCTCAGTAAGTTACATTTACCCTGTCGATGATGTCATTGTCTTACAACTCTAGAAGTCTTTATCTTCTTCCTCACATAGCAAAATGATTCCTTATTTGTTTATCTATTTATTTATTTATTGATTTTTCAGGAAGGAGCAAAGGAGACTCAGTGACCCAGACAGAAGACCTGGTCACTGTCACAGAGGGGTTGCCTGTGATGATGAACTGCACCTATCAGACTACCTATAGTCCTTTCCTTTTCTGGTATGTTCAATATCCCAACAAAGCCCCTCGGCTACTCCTGAAGAGCGCCACAGACAACCAGAGGACAGAGCACCAAGGGTTCCAGGCCACTCTCCAGAAGAGCAGCAGCTCCTTCCACCTGCAGAAGTCCTCAGTGCAGCTGGCAGACTCTGCCCTGTACTACTGTGCTCTGAGTGCCACAGTGAGGGGACTGCAGGGGAAGCTGCACACAAACCCAGGGTGCAGGAGGCTGGGGTAGTGGCCTGGGAGGGAGGGCTGTGTGCCTTCTCTGAGTGGGGTTTACCCAGACTCTTGAAAATCAGCAGCTCATCTCAGGTCAAATTCCTAGAAAACTAGGGATCTGTGGATACTCTGACAGGATAGGTTGGAAGTCATTGCTAGAGATAACTCAGGCTTTGATCCCTAGAAATACTGTTCTCTCCCTAAGTGGAGAATCTCCCTCAGAAAACACCTCCAGGAAAACCCTGACATGGAATTTATCTCTACCAAGGTGTCTTTCAAAATTTAGTGATTTAAATTATGCAACAATATTCTGTTCTTACCCCACAAATGTATGACCCAAGGAGGAACACATACTCTAGTCTTTAAAAACCTGCTTCAAAGTCCAGAGTGCTAAGTATTTCACCATGGGAACTGGATTTGCAGCCTATTCCCTATGGTGGGATAACTTACTCAGCCTTGATGCAGTGGGGAGGGGCCAGTCCCTGCCTCAAATTAGTATGCCAGACTTTGTTGACTATCCAAAGAAGGCCTTACCCCCTCTGAAAATGGGGGTTGGATGAGTGGGGTGGGAGAAGAGAAAGGAGGGGCAACTGGGGATGGTATGTAAAATGAAAAAAAATTTAAATAAAAAAAATCTGCTTCAGTCTCACTCCAAAAGTAATTTAGATACATTCTCTTTTTGGTTCATATTACCTAGGTTTAACCTAACTTCTGGTCTCAGTTACTTGTTTATTGTTATGAAGATACACCATGACCAAGACAACTTGTAGGAGAAAGCATTTAATTGGGTGCTTGATTACAGTTGCAGAGAGTGAGTCCATGACCATCATGGTGGGGAGCATAGTAGCAGGCAGTCATGCATGTCCCTGGAGCAGTAAATGAGAGCTTCTATCTGAACACAAGCAACATTCAGAAAGAGGGAGAGACTGGGTCCTCCTTGGGCTTTAGGATTACAGAGCCCACCACCAGTGACACACCCCCTCTGACCGGGTTACACCTCCTTATCCTTTCTAAACAGTCTATCAACTGGGAAATAAACATTCAGGATATATGAGCCTATGGGGTCCATTCTCATTCAAATCACCACAATCTTCAACAGCCTTCATTTAATGAGGCTGCTCAGAAAATATAGCTCTTGGACCTCTGCTGGTGCTGCCCTAAGAGGCAGCTCCTCTCTTCCCACACACTGTGTAGAAATTTTTCTCCCTTAGTGTCCACTCTCATCTGCCATTCCACTTTGCTTAAATCCTGAGGACATGGTGTAGTCACTCACTTGGAATTAGGTTCTCTGATAATTATTATGAAATATGGGAAAGGTGGTCAAGGTTTTGATCCACCTCAGCTCTGGAAACAAAGCACTGATTTAAAATAAAACGCTCTAGTGCTCATATTTATCTCTTTGTAAAGGAAGAAAGATCTGAAATCAAAGACCACAGTGTCTCTTAAGGATGATTCATATTTTTGTACACAAAAAAACAGCAAAAAAAAAATACACATCTGGTACTGGATGGAGCTTAGCAGAATCATCATCAAAGAGATCAGAGGGACTTTGTTCAGTTGCTGATGGGAGCAGATGCAGAGTCCCACAGTCAACACTGCGCAGAGATAAAGGAGTCCTACAGAGAAGAGGGAATAAGTATTGGAGGAAACAGATTGTTCAGGGACACTAGGAGTACATGGATATAGAATCAACTGACTGGGACTCATGTTGGCTTGCTGAGATTAGGGAACCTATAGGGGTCTGACCTAGGTCTTCTGCATATGTTATGGCTGAGTGCCTTGGTCTTCTTGCGGGATTCCTAACAGTGGGAAAGGAGGTTGGCTTTGGCTCTTTTGCCTGCTTGTGGGACCCTTTACCACTTACTGGGTTACCTTGTCCAGCCTTGATGTGTGATGATATTTGCCTGGAATTATTATGGTTTATTAGGCCATATTTCATAAAAGGACTTTCTTTGGACTGTCAGCTCCCAAATAATGACAAGGAGACTTCTTATTAAGTATGAAATCTTGGCCTTAGCTCGGGCTTGTTCCCAATTAGCTCTTATAACTTAACCCATTTACATTATTCTACATTTTGCCACATGACACATTACCTCTCCTCCATTCTGTATATCTGACTCCCCTCATGTCTCACTTGTGAATCCCCTGCCTCAGTTTCTTCCCAGAGTTCTTTAGTGCCCAGAATTCCTGCCTATCATTTCATACCTAGCTATTGGCTGTTGAAGTCTTTATTAAACCTGTCAGAAGGCACCTGAGGTAGATGAGGTAAAACAGCAACATATCTTCATACACTGTGATCAAATACCCCACAACAGTGTTAAGTGGATGTCCCTGGGAGGACTACTCTTTTCTGAAGGAAAAGAAGGATTTTGGATCTGGGAGAGATGGGAAGTGAAGCAAGAGAGTCTGGGAGGAGAGGGAGGGGAAACTGCCATTGGAATGTAATATATGAGAGAAGAATAAAATATAAAGGCATAGAACATGTAATGATCACATCAGAGTAACTGTACTATTTGTTAATAAAAGTACACTCTATCTTACTGGTTAGGGACAAAATGGAATGTTAACTTGCATTTCTGAACACCAAAAATCTACCTCAAATGGCACAGCATGGAATATAATCTCTGAGATGAGTGCCTGTCAAACCTAGAATGAACACTAAATCTAATAAAAAGAGACCCCAATGCCAGATATGGGACACCTTTCAAATTGTTGTTCAGGGGCTTCAAGGGTCTTCTCCAATCAAATAGGCTATGTGCATTGGTTTGATTGCCTCATAAAACTTGCAGGTAAGACCCTTTTGCTAAGAACACCACATCATTTAGACATAAACTTTAAGAAATTTACCTAGAAATGACCTAAAGACTCTTCACAAAGAATAAGTTCTCATAGTATGTGCAAGATTCCAAGGGGGAAAAGCAATAAATAATCCTACCAAGCTATATAAAGGCTATGAACCAAACAATCACCTCAATTTCAAGATATCCACAAGACTACAATGTAGCACTTCTAACTTGGTAAAAACTAATGTAAGTGTCTTATTGGACTTAAGACCTGCTCAGTAGGAATGGTATTAGGCCCAATAATGCAAACCTAATTACCTACCCATGTCTAAAGAGGTCATAGTCCCTAGAGGAGAACCTACTATGGCCACTGCTGTGGGATATCATTCTGTATGCTGCGAATATGTGTTGCACTGATTGGTTGATATATAAAACTTTGATTTGCCAGTAGCCAGGAAGGATGTATAGGCAGGCAAGCAGAAGAAAAGAATGCTGGGAA